CATCTACTATGTACCCATAAAAATTTTAAAAAGAATACTCTAATACCAATATATACAAATACTATGTATGTATATCTTTGTATTATTTATGTGCACGTGTGTGTACAGAGGGGCATTTTAACACCAGCTCAGTAAAGGCACAAGCATTATACAAAACAAACGACTGAAGATAGTCTTCAATATTAGTTATCCATCAACTATTGAATCAAATGAATTTGAGATTTAAGTTAAAGAGTAAACACCAACACAGAATCTTAATAATAGAACAACCTAAAAAGGATGGAGTAGAAAATAGAAAAATCTCTGAATTTAAATTTTGTCATATGAAAATCAGATCAGAATATCCTACAATACATTTCTGAAGAAACTAAATGTCTGAAAGCAGATTTAAAAGTTTGTAAACAAGGTCTAAAAGATATTAATAAAAGCTATGAAGTCAAAAGGTCAGCCAATGATATATTCCAGAGTTAACAGTATCTTAAAATTCCATATAGAATGATAATAATAAGCGATCATGACTTGATGAAAATAAATTTCAAATGGATGGCTTTGCTCTTTAGACAGTTACAATTTAGAAGCAAACTATCTGTAGGGCATGGTGGCTCATGCCTGTAATCCTAGCACCTTGGGAGGACAAGGCAGGACAATCACTTGAGGCCAGGAGTTCAAAACCAGACTGGCCAATATAGTGAGAACCCATCTCTATAATTTTGGAGTTAGATGGTAGAGTCAGTCCTACAGAAATATTCAAAGTTATTTGACGACCACAGGGCAATATAATTTGGTTCCTTATGGTTGCAACTAGAATAAAAGTTAAATTGTTAGGAACTAGGGAAACAAAGCTTATATGGTACAGTAACAATATTCATCATTGGTTATAGTTTAAATATTCATATGGTTATAGTTTAAAAGGCAATCATAACTCATTTGTTATCTTTGTTTCATTTTCTATATTCAGGTGCCATATTTGGTTATATATGACCAAACTTCTCTGAAAGTTCAGTTCCTTTTTATTAAAAAAAAAAATCTGTTGAAAGATTCTCCTTTAACAGTTCTCTCCTGTCCCCTTTAGTCACTGAATTAAATTTTATGTAATCCTGATAATACAAACACCAAAGCAAAGCCAAGTCAATGGAACTTTACTTGCTTTCTTAAAGGCCCTTATTGCCCCTGTAGAGGTTTTCTCTCTCCCCACAGGTTTTGAGTACAATTTTTGTTTTATTTCCCCTTAAACAGCCAGGGCAGTTTCCTCATTATCTGGAACTCAGTTGAAGGTTTCAGGTTTCCCCAGAGATGTTCAGACCAACATAGTTGCACTGAAGTACTAATACTAATGTTTTTGGAACTTGCAATTTGCTTTCTATGTTGTTACTCAACTGACTTGTGAATTATACAGTATAATGAGGTTAAACATTTTCTTAATAAACTTAGAACTCTCTAGGTAGACTGAAAGTACTCTATGTACTACAGTGAGAAGAAAAATATGTCCTTATTTTTAGGTACTTATTCAAATTCTTTGCTAATATAGTTCACTCAGTCTTGGTGTAGAAGCACACATCGCGAGACTCTGTCTCAAAAAAAAAAAAAAAAAAAAAAAGAAAGTACACATCTAGGAATCCACTGCTGCATTAAGACTTTCTCATTTTCCTTTTTCATCTTTTACCAACAAGTGGTTTAAAGCATTAGTCCAGGACTCAGAATTTTATGTGGTTACTGGCAAAGGTACTTAAGTAAAAATTCTGCGAAAGAAAAGGAAGGAACATGTTCATTTGCCCAGTTAATGACTAATGTAAAAGAGAAAATGATTTCAAACGTTTAAATCACTTATACAACAGTGTTTTGAGTAATGGGAATGACCAATAAGACATTGAGGTATCATGAAAGAACAGACAACAGTGCTTATTTTTAAGGTTACTGCTGTTTGTTTAATCACCGTTCAGGTCTCTATCAGGAGTGATTCACAGTCATCTCTCCTACTGAATCAGTGCTAACCATTTTCTTCAATTAACTCTGAAAAAAGGCAGCAAAATTCAAGTTCATAAACCCATTTGAAAAATGTGATTTACAAAGTCTCATACACATAAATGTTAAGGAAAAAAAAAAGGATTGTCAATGACAGATTCCAAATGGAGTTTTCCCACTATTTCTAGGAAGCAGATGCTTTAAGAATTCATTTTTACTTAGTGAAAATTTTATACAATTAGAAAATATTCAATCAGTGACTCTAAAATCTGTAAACTTCAGTAGCAGAATTCTACTAATACAGGACTGTTACAAATTCAAATTGTCCTATCATGGCATTATTACCCCCATGATTGGCAAATACCAGTAAATATGACCTATTTCCTCAAATATTAATTTTATAGATCTCGGCCGGGCGCGGTGGCTCAAGCCTGTAATCCCAGCACTTTGGGAGGCCGAGACGGGCGGATCACGAGGTCAGGAGATCGAGACCATCCTGGCTAACACGGTGAAACCCCGTCTCTACTAAAAAATACAAAAAACTAGCCGGGCGCGGTGGCGGGCACCTGTAGTCCCAGCTACTCGGGAGGCTGAGGCAGGAGAATGGCGTGAACCCGGGAGGCGGAGCTTGCAGTGAGCTGAGATCCGGCCACTGCACTCCAGCCTGGGCGGCAGAGCGAGACTCCGTCTCAAAAAAAAAAAAAAAAAAATTTATAGATCTCTGATTAAAGAAGAATCCTACGAAGGCAACATCAGAACTTCAGAACTATACATATTCAACACATTTTTGTGGAGTAAGTGGCACAGGAATACTACATAAATCAAATAATAATTGCTTACAAATAACAAAACATTTGCAGATGACCCAAATTCAAGTTTTTGGTAAACACAATTCCCTATTGCCATCCTGGCCCTGGATGGAGCTTCTAAACAGTTATCACAGGTATGGCAAGTGTAGAATTAAGTGAGCTGTTATGCTAATTAAAAAATTAGAACATTCAACTTAACAGGAAAATCTTAAAAGACACATTTTGGAATTATAAACTTAATACCTTAAGGGGATGACAGATTGTGACATCACATACACACACACACACGAAAAAACTAGCACCAGTCAGGCTGTGGCTGCACACAGCTATCTTTGTTTATCATTGACTGATATCTGGACTGGGCGCTGTTCCCACAGTCTCATATCAGGACAAAGAAATGAAACAAAGCACAGGACAAGCAAGGCAACTCTACAGCTGTCTGGTATGCATCATCACTGCAAACTCAGAATTAAAGAGTTTTCTAATAAAGTTTCTAAATACCCATCCACTATGTTGTTATCTGGAGATTTAGGGCCGTCCTTATTAGAACTTGACGAACTTCTCCCGTGGTTAATGGCAAGATAATTTTTAGCATCTTCATCTAAGCCACGTTCCAAAATATAAGAAATGTCACCGGTAGTGAAACTACTTTAAGAAAATTTATAATGCATTCTCTTTCCTATTATTATATTATGCTAACCCCTGTGCTGTTTCTATTCTATTCCATCAGCATCCTCTAAGGTCAGGTGATGTCTTAGTGCATTTTCTGTTGGTTAGAACAGAATACCTGAAACTAGGTAATTTATAAAGAAAATGAATTTGTACAGTTACGGAGGCTGGGAAGCGCATGGTCAAGGAGATGCATCTGGTGAGAACCTTCTTGCTAGTGGGGACTCTCTGTGGCATCCCAAGATGAAGCAGAGTATCTATCACATGGTGAGGGGCCTAAGTATGCTAAAATGCTAGCTCAAGTCTCTCTTCCTCTTCTTATAAAGCCCCCAGTTCCCTTCCTATGCTAACCTATTCATCCATTAACCCACTAATCCATTGATCCATGAATTCATTAATCCATTTATAAGGGCTCCAATCACCTATTCAAGGTCCCACTTCTCAATACTGCCACGCTGGGGATTAAGTTTCAACATGAGTTTTGGAGGGGACATTCAACCGTAGCAGTTGGTAATAAGCTCTTCGTCATTAAGGTGGATGGAACAAAGGCCACATGTTACTGCTGCTCTCTTCTGACCATGTCTGATAAGACTGGAGTCACATACTGATGAGACCAGAGCCAATTAGATTCTCTTTCTCAGGAATTGAGAATGAGGACTTTAAGACAGCTAAAGGCACTGCACTCACAAGGACATGCTTATAGGTTGGAGGGAAGAAGAGGAAGGGCTGGGGTTGCTATTTTAGGTTCAAGTAAGCAAACAGATAAACCCAGATGGTAGAAAGCAGCAGCAGAATAAAGTAGAATCAAAAGGAAGCAGAGACCAGAAACAAAATGACCCGTGAAACAGGACCCAATGGCTTTTCAATTTTAGGTTTCAGATCTCTGGGAAATCCAGGTGTACTTGTTCCCCTTAAGTTCAGTGAGGAATCTTTGCGTACTTCCTATAAAATCATCCCTGCTTTTGTTTTTGTGTTATTAGCTTGAGTGGGTTTCTCAACTCAGATATAAAGGTTCTTAATTATGTACAAATTATTGGTTTAGGGTTGATTTTCTTCAATCACTTGTTAACAATCATTTATAACTTGTTCCCTTGATTTGAGACGTCACTCTTTTATTTGCATATTAGAGGTTTCTCAGGCATCAAAGATTTTCAGCACAGTAAGATTCTGAGAAGAGAGGGGGTAATGTTATTATAAATTTTACAATGAAATTATTTATTTATTTATTTATTTTTTGAGATGCAGAGTCTTACTGTGTCGCCCAGGCTAGAGTGCAGGGGCATGATCTCAGCTCACTGCAACCTCTGCCTCCCGGATTCAAGTGATTCTCCTGCCTCAGCCTCCTAAGTAGCTGGGACTACAGGTGTGCACCATCACACCCGGCTAGTTTTTGCATTTTTAGTAGAGATGGGGTTTCCCCACGTTGGCCAGGCTGGTCTTGAACTCCTGACCAAGTGATCCATCTGCCTTGGCCTCCCAAAGTGCTGGGATTACAGGCATGAGCCACTGTGCCTGGCCGAAAGGAAAAGTTTTTATTGATGAAATAAGGTAACTACTTACATAATCTGGTAGAGGAACATCATTAGAACTCAGCGAACCTCTCAAGGACTGTGTGGCTTGTTCCAGAACTTTGTTGTGTTTTTTAGACAGCAAAGAAAATAAACTGGAAAAACAAACAAAAAAACCAATTATATTAAAGAAAACTGTTTTCTATGTCTTCTGTGGAATTATATAGCTCCACAGCATGTCAATTATTCTAAAATATACTTGTAAATGATTCTTCCTTCATGCCTGTGTTAACAGCAAGATTAACAATACTATTTATGTAAGAAAAAATGAGTGAGGAGGATGTTTAAATCATAAGAGTTCTAAAAATTTTTTTAATGACAGTTTAAAATTATGTTTCAAACATAGGAGAATTTTTCATAAGATTACTATAGGGAAAAGAATAGTGGAGAAAACCTGAGATGTAGACTACGACTAACTCATAGTGCAATCTACTACAAGTCACTTGAGCTTGTGTATCTTCTCATCTTCTGAAAAAGTGTGTTGGACAAGATTATATCTCTACTGTCATACAGAGTCTATGGTTCTGTATTATAGCTTTATTTCTCAAAACTAATGACTTGAAATGTTTTATAAGATTTCTGCTTCTGGCCGTGATAGATTAATTGATACTGAACTAACTCCCCTGCTATCACTAACTTAAAAAAAAAAAAAGACACAACTCTTTTCAGATGTTATACAACATGTGAAGTAAAGGATTATAATCCCTAACAAAAGGGATATAAAGATGAGCCCCATAATGGTGAGCTTCTGTCTCGAGGAACATTGCAGATTATGGTCCAGGAAGGTGGGACCCAAAGAGTACACAGCAGTGTTGTGCTGAGCTCAGACAGAGAGAGGAATTTAAGGCTGCTGTGGCAACTGCATTTTGCAAGGCAGAATACTAGAGAGGAGAGAATTTCCAGAAAGCAGGTCCAGAAATCCAAGGGTCTTCTTGAATGTTTGTATAAATGTTAAGCTGTAATGTGCAGAGCAAGACTCCACAAGGTGTGGCAGTAAACAACTATCCAGGAGCTGTAAACTAAACAGAGATTTTTGGGGACCATAACAGACTGAGGGATACTGGAGCTCTAACCAGCCAGGAGATAAAAATCATTGAACATGAACATTCAGTTGAATTCTTAGAAAGGCCATGCTTTAGTAGTCAGGCTATTTTACTTTAGAGTGCAAATTACTGTCTTCTAAGAGGCTCTTTAATATAGCAAAACAAACAATCTTCAAAGAATACAGTTGATTTACATTAAATATAAAAGCACTAAACACCCCAGTTAAACGTCAGAGATTTTCAGACTGGATAAAAATGCAAGATCCAACCACGTGCAATTTAAAAGAGACACACTTGTAAATTTAAAGATACAGGTAAATTAACAAAAGGATACAAAAAAGACATACTATAAAAACATTAATCATAAGGAAATTGGAGTGGCCATATTAATTTCAGACAAAGTAGGCTTAAGAACAATATTATTATTACTAAAGAGGGAGATTTTATAATGATGAAAGCCAGTTTAGCATGAAAACATAACAATCCTAAATACATATGTGCCTAATAAAAGAACTTTAGAGATATGTAATTATATGATCCCAATATTAAATTTATTGTATTTAATAAAGAAAGAATTCTTCTTTGGGATAGATGGTGGCTTAAAAATAAAGGCAATTCTGATTCCATGTACTTTCCATAAAAATCTGAAGTATAGCCTGTAGTATTTTTTTCATGCCAAAACTTCACTATAGTATTTAGTAATCCCCTTACAAATAAAATATTTATTTAAATATCGATTTAGGAAAATCTGTAATTATTTCAGATGGTTTAAAAAGGATATCCGTTGAAGACTGGGCCACTAAGTAGTTTTTCTAGATTAAGTTTCAACTAATATCATCAAGGAAAAAAGTTCCTTAAACATTTATTGGTAATGTTAGATGTTGTACAAAACAAACATAAGAGAGGCAGTGAATATTATTTAAGTTTATACTTAAATAAGGTGGGAAGAAAAATAATTACATGAAATAATTACTGAATGAATAAGTATGAAATTATATGATACTGGTTACATGCTGAGGATATATCTGAATGATTTCTTTGAAATGAAACACTCCTGAAATGCAATACTCCAGTGAAGTTTCATGAAGGTCAGCTTAGGCCCTATACAATGTCTTGAGAAAGAAGAAAGAGTTATCTGTGCAAGAGAGAATAAAAGGCACTTCCAAATAGAAGGCAAAGCACAGAGGCAAAAGTAGAAGACAGCAAGAAAATCGGAATGGAGGTACTATACAAGAAGTAGAAAACAGGATTCAGTACATAAGGGCACATACACTTTTTTCCAATCATTTTTTTTTTTTCTGGGTCTTCTCCATTTGAGGTTTAGTTTTGCTTTATCTTTCCTTTTTAAGGTTAACAGTAAATGCCATATTTTCAACTCACCATTATTCCCATGACCCACTGATAACTAATATTAACAGTTTATTGTGTATGATTCCAGAAACGTTATACGCATTAATCCATGTAAACAAATGCATACTGTATACATATATATCCATCTTTTTTATTCCATGAAATATATACTATGCTGTACCTTGCACTTTGTCCATCTAATAATACATTCCTTCCTTCATTCAACAAACACATGAGTGTTTACTGTTACTTGACATCAAAGGATATGGATATACCATAATTTATTTAGTCCATTATTAATCACTCACTGCAATTGTTTCCAAACGTTTATATTATAAACAGCATTGAAATGAACACCCTTGTAAATAACTTTAAGCATGCCCGAGTGAGACTATCTTTATGATAAATTGCCTGAAGCAAAACTGCTGAGTAAGAATAACTGAACATAATACTGAACTGCATTATGGGGTCCATATTTTCAAGTATGTAAGTTATTTTGCAGGAGATGCAAAAAAAAAAAAGTAAAAAAGTTGGGATTATTTATAAGACAGGTATACATGGAAATGCATACAGAAGGAAATCAGCAATATGCTTCTAATTGGTTACAGTGTATTTTCTGGAATAAATGGAATTTCAGAAGTTTTTTGAGACTAAAAGAACTTTGGGTAGTCAATTCTTGCACAAGGTGTGGCAAGACTCAAAAACATAAACTGGCTACCCAAACAAAAAAAGAAAAGCAATAAATACGCCTGAAAGAAGTGAGCTTCTTGGTGTTAGGAAGAAGAAATGGAACAAGTGAAACACAGCAGCATACTTTGCTGAGTTGAAGAAAAAAATAAGAATTCGAGAGGTGCTTCATGAGTTCAGCAAACCTGGGATGTTCATTCTCACATTCCGTGTGTGTGTGTGTGTGTCCCCTATTAGTGCACTATCAGAGAACAGCAGAGATGATCGATAGTAACTTTCATCATCAATTTAAGAAAATAATTAAACAGTCCTAGGGACCAGAGCAAAAAACACTTGAAACTGTTTCTTTTGGAGAAGAAAGGCTAGTTTGTTTGTTTATTGATTTTAAAAGAGCGTATGAACACTCTGTTTTGCTTGCTAGTAGGACACCAAACAAGGAAGTGAGCTTCAATTCAAACATGAGATATTTTGGTTGAGCATAATGGAAAATTTTACTATTAAGGACATAAAATGTTGAAATGGTATACCTCAGGAAGCTGTGGATACTGCTTCTAGCTATCTTTAAGAAATTCTCTGTAAGAATAGATCATTTGAGGTCACATTCAGCTCTCTATCAAAGAGAAACAGAGAATTCACATTTACTTTGTTACTATCATACAATTTAACAGGCATTTTACTAAAATCTTAGAGCAAGTGCTTTTGAAGTTTTATTTAAACATTCTAATTTTGGCTTTTATTTAACATTTTTAAGGCAAAATGTATATGAGACATGACTTGCAAACTGCTGAGTGAAAAGAGTAACTTTTGCTTAAATCTTTGCATTCAAAGTACTTACCCCCTAGCTTAATGCTAATTAGAGTAAGTAATAAAGATATATGTTTGTAAGTAAATGGATAAATTTGATTTTAAAAATCAGTCTTAAAAATAAAAATGATCTTTAAGTTAGCTTAATATTTACTTAGCTGGGATCTATTTGCTAGAATACTTTTTTAAAATTTGAAAAAGACTAGTTTTTCTTTTTGTATAAGAATGTTCATTACAAACTAAGAAAATGAAAACAGTCAAAACACTAATCAAGAATAGAATGGGTAAATAAACTGTGGGATATTTATACAAGGAAATACTACATAGCAATTTAGAATTACCTAATGCTACATGTATGAATATGAATAAATCTCAAAAACAATGTTGAGTAAAAAATAGGCAAGAATCCTTAGAAAATGTGAACAAGGTGATTTTATGTTTCAAAAATGGAAAACAATATTACAAATCATTTACAGATAAAATATATTAATAACATCAAATATATATGGAAATGATAAACCCTACATTTAGGATAGCCACTGTTCTCTGAGGAAGGAGGAAAAAGGGGGTCCAGCTCTCACATGAGTATTCGCTCTCTCTCTCTATATATATGGACACATATACAGTAGATATAAAATGTTCTTTTGGTAACACTGGATACATACACAAGAGAGTGGTATATTGCTCTATTTTTTGTGTACGCAGGAAGTATTATATAACATTTAAAAAATCTAATAAAAGAACATGCTATCCTGAAGAAAACAGAGCCCCTGCCAACGACAGCATTTCACAAAAGAAAGCAGCATGTAAACAGAATAAGTGTGGTCAGTCCAAACGGGAACACGCTGAGAAAATCACAAGCTGGTGGAAATGGCTGTAGTGTAGGGTGCACAGATGGTGGCAGGAGATGACACCAGAACGAAGACAGTTTGAAGCCAGACTGTGAAGGGCCGCTTTATGGCACATCAAAAGCCCTGGACTTTTATTCCATTCAGAGTGAGAAGCTAATGGAACATCAGTCTTACAAAATAATGAAAGAGGCATGGATCCCTGCCCCCAAGGAACTCAAGTCTACTGGGATGAGGAAAAAAAAAAAAACTACAATACTGAAATCAGAGAATGCCATGGGTCTGAGGAGAGCGCTGTGGGAGAACAGGGGGAAGATTAGGTGCATTCCACGGAGGAAATCTATCTTGACTGTGGCCTTGAAG